TCAAGACTTTGGAACAATTTCAAAGGAATCTTGAAAGAGAACAACGAAGTGGGGTGCGAAGTACTTCACACTTGAGAAGTATTATTATCCAGTGCCTAAATCCAGTATGGAGTTACGGGATGTAGATTTGATGAAACCTCGTCCAGCTGATAACGTTGACCCCAACATTAAGGCAGCCATGAAGGAATTGGTTGACAGGTATCGACCTGTCAAGGACGGTAAGAAGCGAATCAACAAAAGACAAAGCGGGAGCCCTGCCGCCAGCTGTATATTCCAGTACGCCATCGTGTACTAGAGTAACATTCCAAGAGGATGTTTAAGATGATCCAGGGACAGACAATGAAGAACGAGTCGACCAGGATGCAAATATTCTACGAGCTACAAACAAAGTACCGAGAACCACCTTTGTTGACGAAAGCATGCTCGGAGTTGTCGCAGTTAGTGACGTGACAGACCTCCCCGAGAAACAGGATGAATTCGACACCGACTCGGAGATCGATGCGGATAATGATACAGACATAACGTTCAGCAGATTTGGTCGCACCACCCGCGCTCATTTCCGCCTTGATCTCTAGAAATAGTTGGGACAATCGCGACTATTCAGGTATGGAATATAATCAAATGTTTTTGGCCAGGATGGAGTGACATGTCTGTCATTTTTGTTGATCATTATACATTGTGAGCACTGTAGCCGATCTTATTGGTAAAAGAATATTCTCTTATTGCTTTCATTACTAGTCAAATTTAAACACTTATATATGTTAACTCTCATTTTCCTTGTAATTTTCGTATTTATCTCTTTTTGTTTACAGTGCAGATACACCAACTGGGACCATCTCACAAAGCCAACCAATCATACTGAGGTATTCATACAACGGATGACAGTCCGTAAATTTGCTTAATTTTACTGTTTATTTCGATGCTCTATCCCATTGGCTGTTTGATTTGAATATCGTAATCTGATTTGTTACTAATATATTTTCTCTAAGTGGTCACGGTTGGTGAATTCTCGCTGTAAAAGCGCTTTAAGAATAGAATTTTTATGAGTTATACAAGCCAAATCTGCGGTAGTCTTCAAATATCATCGTTCATAAGTCTGTGGACATCTTTGGCAGTCTCAGTGGACATCTTCGGCAGTCTTTGGACATCTTCAGCAGTGTTCGGACATCTTCGGCAGCCTTCAGACATCTTCGACAGCTTTCGGAAATCTTCGGCAGCTTTCGGATATCTCCCTCACTTCGGAAGTCTTGAAATAATCCCGAATTGTTGGAAAATGGCCAAAAAAACCTCTTTGAGACAATAAACATAGGCCCAACATAGATATTTCCCCTTTTAGGGTGTGGTTTGTTTGTTTATGGGAAAAAAATAATGTTACAACGAATTTTTTAAGGTTAGTGTTAAAATAGCTGAAAATTAACTGTTTAATGTTATACAGTCAAAAAAATAAGTGTTTAGTGTTATCGAAGTACCCCCATTCAGACCCTCATAGAAGCCAGCCCTCGATAAGTTTTGGCCCGTTGAGCGCCTTTGGCAAGAGGACAGTTTCCTATTTGCCCGCTTACATTGATTGTGATAACATCTGATTTCTTAAAATCTTCATTTACGTAAATTGGCGATAATTTTTTGGGGGGTTTTTACTGACATTTACATATCGCCCTCAAAAGAACATAATTAGAGGAGTTTAGTTTAATCGATAACCGTCAGTCAAGTCGACCAACTAGTTTTTCCAATTTTTTTTTCAGAATCAGCATTTATTATTTAGGGACCTTAAGTAGTTAACTAATGACAGTCATTATGTTAACCAGACATCAAGACTAACCGAATTTTCTGTTTTGGCTTTGTTGTCATAGTAGCAAATCTGTTTTTTTATGAGTGTATTCAAAATTAGCTACATCCTGTTCTTTATCTACCAATTAAATATGATGGAAAAGTTCAGAGCAAACAGCTTACAACTTTCTGCATACAGCAGCTGTATATATAAAGCTGTCAAGGCCAACGAGGGCTGTGATATGCATAAAAAACACTTTTAATGAGCGCCACTCACTGCTTTGAATCTGGTACTTGAAGGTCTTTTTCTTATTTATCGCAGAAGATGAACGAAACCGTGGGACCAACCGCAAGAACGATGACAGACTTAAATACTACCGAGGCAAACTTCGCAATTACACCAGATAGCCCAGGAACACTATGGCGCACTAGTGTTATTGCTTGTATCGCAGCCATCAATATATTTCTCTCGATAAGTGCGTCTCTAAGTAACGTCCTTATCCTAATTTCTCTTCAGAAAGTTTCAACGCTTCATAAGCCGACAAAACTTTTATTCCAATCACTGGCAGTCACAGATCTTTTCGTGGGCCTAATTTTACAGCCATTTCATGCGACCTTTCTGCTGTCTCTTTTAACAAAGATGGACACAAGAGTAACTTTTTACATTGAGGAAATAAATCCTTATGTAAGTATCACGCTTTGTGGGGTATCAGTGCTTACCTCGACAGCGATCAGTGTTGATCGACTCTTAGCCTTGTATCTAGGGCTGCGATACAGACAGGTTGTTACAATGAGTCGCGTTCGAACGTTCGTAGCGTCTTCTTGGCTGATCGGTGTTTCGTGTGGCTCGTTACAGATCTGGAGCTCCCGCATCGCTTGGATAATTGCCTCCATCTGTGCTGCGCTTTGTATGCTGACCTCGATATTTTCTTACACTAAGATTCAGATTTTGTTACGCCATCGTCAGATTCAAATACAAGTCCGTCAAGGACAACCAAGTGCGGGAAAAATTGGTCTGAATATAGAACGCTATAAAGCAACAGTGTCCGCCATTTTTTGGATTCAGGTGACTTTGCTGGGCTGTTACGTTCCGTTTTGCATCGTAACCGTGCTGAGGATTTTTAATGAAAAGCAACTTTATATTACCTGGTTAGGGACTGCCACTTTAGTTTACCTAAATTCGTCTCTAAATCCCTCCCTCTATTGCTGGAAGATCAGAGAAGTGAGACAAAGTTTGAAGGAAACCGTCGCCCAGTTTTGTAACTGTGCACTAAGTTAGATTCACGGGTTTTGTTCACAGTAAACATTTTTCTACACTTAAGCAAGACAGTAGTTTTCAAGTTGCAGGTTGGCTGAACGGTAATTGATGAAAAGAAAAAACGTAGCTCTGTATTCAATTGCGGATTCAGTTTGACACGCTACCCAATCTAAAATGGTTGTATGGCTATTGTGTAAACACGTAGCGGTAAAGCTTCCTCAAGGTTTCTTTAGTTGAATTTGTAACAAAACGATGAAAGATGACTCCGGCCTCGAAATGCACAACCATTGTGGGAACTTTGATGAATGAAAAAACAGAACTGAACAGACTTCATTAATCTTTGATTACCTCTTGCTCAATTATCTACTTTCATCCATTGTCAACCCTTTCACGGCATAATGTTAAGAAAAGTAGAGAGGTGATCGTAGGCCTACGAGGATGTAATGCGGTGCTAGTTTAACTTCTTGACTTTTTATTGCGTCGTTATTTGCCAAGGCAGCTCTAATTAAGTGATAGCCTTAACCTAAAGGTGTTTAATTTTCTCGATAACCTTCAGTCAAATCCATAATTTTTCCCTCGACATAGCCTAAGTGGTTAGTGAAAGTCGCTGAATGAGCCACACATCAAGACTCGAATCAGCTAAATTTTTCCGTTTCTGGTGTTTTGGATTTGTTGCCCTTCCAGCAAATCTTTCATAAATTTCATATGTATTCGAAATCAACTACGTCCTACTGCTTATCTGCCAATTGAAAATCATGGAAAAGTTCTAAGCACGTTGGAGAATCAAACAGTTCACAACTGACTGTATTCAGCAGCTTGATTTCCTGGATGTAGAGGTATCAAAGCTTTCAATAGCTGTGGTATATATATAAGTGGGACATAAAACTACGCAAAGGTTATTAATAGCGCCACCGAATTAAAATAGCATATAAAATATTGTATCGTCAATAAGAGACCTGGGCCGGGTTGAGCGAAAACCAATAAACATCAATTAGGGATAACTACATACAAAACGTTTACGTTGCCATAACAATCAAACCAGGATTAAAACCAATCGCGCTTCGGAAAAACTCGGCCTTGTCCAATTTTCTTCGACTTATAAAGAAATTTTGACATTTTATTAACTCAGAACAGGATTGCAAAAATTGGGTATTAAATGATATTGAGTACGGCATGAAAAGTAAGCGCGAGTTTGCGAATTTCTTCGGCTTACATGATCAAGGTTTGCGGCTCGAGTTGACTAAAAATTCCTGCAGGGAGCCTATTCTTGTGAGAGATACACGGGAGGTGCGTCGTAAATGAATATTTCATCAGTGAGGCACTTAGTTATAGAATACAAATAAGAATTTACTCTTGTTTCCAAGGCCGGTTTTCTTTTTTTTTTTTTTGGTACAAGTGGGGAACCAAAGTCAGAAGAATCAAAACCCCCAAAGTTTCCATGTCTCGAGGTATTCTCAGCCGTGACCAAAAGTTAAAAAATCAACTCAGATATTTGGATACTTTTCATTTTCATTTCTCAAAGTATTTTACGTCCTTAGCGAAGATAAAGCAAAACCTCATGAAGTAAAAAGTTAAGCCTGTATGACATCTCAATACAATAACTATCATCAAAATGTTTTGCATTCAAACGAAGAAGCAGGTGAAAAAATCGAAAAAACTTAGGTAATTTACATATGTTAAAGTTACCCTAAATAACGGTATCTGTGATCAAATGTGAGGGGTTGATCGAATTCATTTTTTTCAGAAAAGCGTAAGGTTACAAGCTAATAAGATCAGGTTAGGACGTCAACATACCACAACTCAAGAGCCACCAAAAACTTTTCAGACATGGATGAATTAAAACAAAAATAAGAAGAACCGACTGACGGTCAAAAATTTCAACGCCGAAGAAATTTAACATTTAGACAATCATCAAAAAAAAAAATGGAACTTGTACATCCCTTTCGACGATTCAAGCATGTTGTAGAAAAGATAAAGTGGATATCCCAAGTTTTAAAAAGAAATTTTAAATAGATATACTTAATTTCTTTGCATTAAAACCATTTATATTAAAAACAGAGCGAATGTATCAATTATTGTTTCTGATACTCCTTAAATTTGATATTGGAGCTCCAGTGCACGCGGCAGGTAAGAGTTGTTCAATATTTAATTAAGGAAATATAATATCCCATCGATCTGAAATAAAGGACGTCACGTGAAGAATGATACAGTTCAATGAATATCATTTTCAGAATATTACTTCGAAGTTCGCTCATGCCTTCGACGTGAAGCTCAAATGGAAATTTGGGTTTCATTCAAATCAGAACGTAAAAGGAACTTCAAACGCATTTGATTCCATTGCGTGGCACGGGCGGAGCAAGAACCATAGTTATTAAAAGGAAACAAACTTAACATGCTGACTGGAGGTGTGTAACCTCTCCACTTACGAGTTGCCTTTGGCTATTTAAGAATTATCTTTCAGTGTTCACTAAACTGTATAAAAATTAATGAGTTCAGTCAATCAACATTAACTTCACAATTGTCCTCATTTTGTTTGTAATCCCACCAACGCACGAATCAGAGGCAACAAGCTGAACATATGCCCAGTGGTTAATGCTGTGGAAATTCGGGCCAACATCTGTTCTCCGCCTTCTGCTTTCCCGTGTGTTAGATAAAATCCCAGTTTGCCCTTACTTGACGATGATATCGTTTCGTGTGGCTCTGCTGATAATGATCGCTTTGTATCAAATTGCCAGTAACGATTTTTGGTCGCAAAGTAGGTGTTGCGCCAATGCTGAACAACCTACAACAACCGCCGAGGTTGAGGCAAAACGTAAAATTAAGTCTCTCGTAGAAATTGCACTCCGCAGAGTCGCAGATGTCGAGCGACAGCTTCAAGAACGAAATGGCACTTGTGATAAGGTTGATTTACTGAACATAACTTTTGACGAAAGGAGATGGAGGCCAGAAGCACTTTTGACGGTACAAGTGGCTAATCTGATGACATCGCTGTGGCGCTCGCGCGCAAGAGACGGTGATCCCATTGGAACTAACGACGCGCTTCTGTATCACTACGTACGCTCGATCGTTTTATTTTCGCCGTCTGTCTTCGGTTCAGTGATTTGCTTTGACAACTATTTGTACAAGAACTACACAAGATTTTGTCCCTATGCATTCAGAGATCCCGAGTTTAAAAAAAGTGTTCATGTCATAGATATAGTTTCGGCGAGTCAAGGTTATGACTACACGACGGACGAAAATGCGATTTGGTGGCACAAACCTAAAAAAAAAGCACTTACTTTCCGTCCCGAGAGCATCACAAGCTATTATGAAGTACGATACAACTTAACCCACACGGATAAGCTGAAAAAACGGGTCTTCCCGCATGTGACATTTGAAGATGGGGCATGGACGCGACCTTACTTCGACTGCTTTGGTGGAAAGGTTTGGATGGTGACCTATCTCGCTCCTTTCTACAACGAAACGGACGACTTCCTGTGAGTATCATAACCCAAGCTATTTGTTTCAAGTCGTGCTATTTGTGCGCATTTCTCATTTTCAAAATTTAGAATGAAGACATAACGCAGAGAGGATTGCTTCGGATGAGTATAGTGCTAGGCAACTACTTGGTTTTTTTCGCTTATTTCACACATTTTTGAAAATTTTTAGAAGCATATTCCCCCAGTTTTTTTCTTGTCTCGGTGACGCAGTCGAGTTACACCGATAGCAGTATAAGCTGTCTTGAAAAAAATTGTTATAGAACAATGTGAAGGGTACACCTCTATTACGGTTTGTTTGATTATACATGATATTTTGACTGACATTTTGGAATTAAAATTATCTGCGCAGGTTTTCCTTTTAATTTGAATAATCGAGTCTTACATTTCTGCCTATTTTCCCCCTTTTCTTTACTATATGCTGTGCCACTTTTTTCTTACAATGTTGAATTCTATAAAAGAAAAGCTGTCGGAACCATATTCTTCACAACCTTCGAAGCGAAGAAATTTTAATATTTGTAAACCCAAATTAAGAGCTGTGTCACTTTTATAGAAAATCCTGACACTTCTCTTCGTTTAGATTGGACTGCATCAAATTAGAACGATCCGGCTGAGCAACACAACTAATATTGCTAATAAAACATTTGAAAATTAACAACTGTAAATTAAAACTTAAAATATGGTGTTTCTTGGCGAGAGAGACTTGGTTTACAAGTGCTCACCATCTGATGATAAAGACCAATGCTACAATGCAATGAAATATTATCTTTGAAAGCAAACCTTATCAAAAACAAAATTCTGAGTTGAATAAACAAGTTGTTATTCACGTTCTATATTATATCATCTACGTAAATTCGTTGAACCAAGATGGGCAGGTTAGACGTGAACATGACACAACTATTGTTTCTTTAATATAACAGTGTATGTTTAAAAACATTGTGTGCTCCATTTGATTGCATACGATTAGCAACTCGTACTTTTCATCAAAATGTAAATTACTAGACTATTCAAAGATAAGCTATAGTTTGCTGGGCATTAAGACAAAGTTTCGCAATCCTTATTCTTGCATTGAGAAAGACTTCACCATTTGTTACAACTTCCGTTTTGTTCTATTTCTTTTTTTATTTCTTTTTTATTTTTTTTTTTAATTTTAAGACATCGGCTAATGACTTTATAGTTCCGAGAAATCAGCATTTACAAGTTTGGCACTTAGTCGTTTGAGGTCATTATGAAAATGATGTGCTCTCCATGATTGCTTACATTTCCTCTCGATATTATTAGATATCCAAAAAAATTACCAACCGAGCTTTGCCTAAAGAAATATCACTGACTTGACGTGGTGATATTGATGCCAGTAGTCTATATTACAATATAAGTTAAAAAAAGTAAAAAGAGAAACGAAAAACACGCCAAATTAAAAAAATGAGATGACATAACTAATATTTACCTTAGTTTCGGTTGGCACCTGGTGTCATCACGTCAAATTGTAAATATACAAATATCGTCTTTCATTTTTCTACACCTGGCAACGAAACCCTATTTGCATTTCTTTCGAAAGTAAACTAGTGTTATCCCACCAGTTAAAAACTACCACTCAAAATCGATCCTTTAGGTAAATTGCTCTTTTTAAGTCCAACATTTGCCACCAACACTACGCATGCTCCCAATCATTGTCGCATTGTACCAAGACATTATATTTAGCAAAAAGTTAGTACTAAATGGCAATATAGATATAGATAGGTTTTAGTGCGTTTAAGGCCCTGACAAGAGCGGTTAAGAAGAAAAATTTATAAATTGTAAAATTAAAAATAATTAAAATTAATAAAAATTATACTTTTGGTCGAGCATATACATTTAGAGCACTTTCTGGTTGAGTGTATTAAAACCAAAGCCAAACTAATAACAACGACTAATCAGAGGAGAGGAAAAAACCGCCAAGAGCCGAAGAGATCTCAATGTAAAACGAACCAAACTACGCGTAAAACGCGTGCGACCACGTCGTGATTGGTTTAAGTTTTACTTCTAATTGGTCGAGAGGGTAGCGAAGATTTCTGGACCAATCACACAACGAAGTAAAGCAAAACCAATTCAATTCCGGATTACTTTCGGTACTCAGTTGAAAATTGTTCTACATGACCATCATTTTTCCTTTTTTCCTTTTCCTTAAGGCGAACATTTTTTAATAAAAAATGCATACCTTTCAGTCCAATTGGTGTCACGGTATAATTTAATCGACAGAAAGACCACTAGAATCCAACAGACTCAACTACTTTCTTAAACGAGAATTGTGATATTCATAAGAAAGATGGAATCCTAAAGGCAGTACAGTAATTATCCTTAATAAACTTACTTAAGCCCATTACAATCTATTTCTTAGCTCACCACTCACACAAACTCACAGTTGTCTCCAGAGTTCCTTGAAATGAACAGTCTTGTACAGTAGCTCTCTCTTAGTATATAGCTTTCTAAACAGTCGGTCACTCCCCCCGACTACTACAACAACAATTAGTACTACACAACTGAATCCTTAACACACTTACTAGTTAATCTGGATCCTTACAACACCACTGTTTTAGTAGTATTCCTTCACTACCACATGACCTAATGGAATGCTCCAGATAGTTCCATGGCGTGCACATCAGCATGGCTAAGAATTCTGGAAATTTCTAGATATTTATCTTACAGGCATTATCCATAACATTAGTGTCTCTAGCTATCATTGCTTTATGGTTTCTAGGGGTGTGGTCAGTATCGATGTGGTACTTAGCGACATTGACATTAACCAGTGTGACGAGCAGGAGTCCTCTGAATCTGATGATGGAGTGGAGAAAGGACTCGGATATGCATCGGATAATTTAATGGAATTCATGGGTACTCATCTCTGCAAGAAATCAACAGAGGTAAGAGTCGTATTTCTAGAAAGGTAAAAAGAATGTAAGCAACGATTTAGCTCTGGTTTATATGACTGGAGACTGGAAATCGAGGTCAGGGTTCGAGAATTAGGTAATGGCGTTTTGTTTTTGGACAACAGTGCTTCTCTTTACCTGGAAGTAAAGATGGGTAGCAGTAAATTAGTAGGAAAACCTAAAGAAAAATCCATAAGGACAGATTATGGACTGACATTCAATCATGGAGAAGTAGGCATATATTCCGCCTGAAGCGACGGAAACCGGGATAGGCTCTGACTGGCGTGAGGCATTTGGCTCAAGAGTAGACTCTTTTTTTACCTCTGTATAATGCTAGTAAGATGAACAGCTCAAGATTGACCAAGAGAACATAAACTGGGGATGGGAATAAGTTCTCTCCGTTTATATTCTCTTGGATTGATCTAATACGATCACTGATTGGGAAGGACAAGTACACGAAAAGAAAACTGCACCTTGATAACGGCCACCGCTCTTATTGCGTTTCTTAAAACAGTGTCAAGCAATCCACAATCAAGGATTCAAGCGAGGGAGCTACATATGCACATGTAAGCGAGGCTTTTACTTCCCTGACAGTCAGGCGTCTGTAAAGGCTTTTAACGGAACCCTCATTGAGCTCCAACACGATCGATATCTACGAGGCGACCCAAACTCTTACGAAGAGGATTTCGAATGCATTCGTTGCAGTGTTGGATGCGACGAGTGTGTTGACGACAAACCATGCGTTTACAGCTCTAATAGCTATATCCGTTTACCGCTGTTTTTTCTAAATGCACTCGTTATGTGTGTGGCTGTAGCATTTGCTGTATGCGTGGGAATACACTGGAATGACAGGGTATGTTAAATTTCCTATTCTCTATTTGGAGAAGCAGACAGATTTTGTGTAGCAGCGTTATAAAAAAAGAATTATTCGCATTGAAATAAATAATACGATCAGGTTTAAAAATTAGCTTCCCTAGAACTTGTCTTTGTTTTGTTTTGTTTACTTTTTTCTCGGTGTATCCCTTTTTTTTTTGTTTACAGATTTTCAAGGCCTCCAGCACGCGCTTCATGGAAATAATATTGTTGGGCGCTACCTTAATGTACTCAAAGGTAAGCATTCTCCTTCATAATTGCGTCTTTATAACCTTGTTATTCCACTGTCGTTTTTAAGTGTGATTATTTTCGTCTATTTCCAGCTCATCGTTTCATACTTCAAACCTTCAAGCCTCCGTTGTATTGCACGACCCTGGTTGCGTCATATTGGATTCGTTCTGGTGTATGGATCGTTGGCACTTAAAACATGGAGGTATGTATGTATTTTTTTCATTTCGCGAAGTAGTTTTCTATGAAGAAGTAAACAGGCTCACAAACAAACGAGTTGGCGAAAGTAAAATGAAAGACTATCAGGAAGACAAGAAAACTGAGGAAACAGCCTGAGCCAATAGGAGTTCTCATCGGGGTTAACTGTCAGCCGTAAAACGGCAAAACAATGTAGCCGTTAGGCGCAGAAACTGACACATTTTATAGGTTTGTCAGAAAAAAAAGTTAACGGTAAAAACTACTCTCTTAACCGTCACGTAACGAAATTAACTGCTAGCTGTAAAATTGTGAAACTTTTAATCATTAGCCGCAAAAAGCCATTAATCCATTGCCACCCCAGATAAAGACAAGCCCGAGAAAAGCGGAAGGGCAAACAGACTCACAAATAGAAGACAGACAAATGAACAAACAAATTAACACAAAAAGACTGATGCTAGTTCTTTGCAGGGTGGCATTAATATTTCGAGTACGATCGGCCCAGAAGCTCACTTTATCAGACGGGGTACTGTTAAGACGGTTAGGTCTATTGGTACTGTTATACTCTGCTTATCTCACTGTATGGACTGCAATGGCGCCACCAGACATTGAAGAGGCGAGGACATCCGATGACTTGAAGTTTACGCGCTGTGTAGAGAATTGGTTTGATTTTACGGTCATATTCGGTAAGTAACTGATCAAATAATGGTTAATTTCGGACGTCTTTTATAAATTTTCCCATTTTAAAAGCAGTAGCGTTTATTATTATTATTATTATTATTATTATTATTATTATTATCATTATTATTATGATCATTTTATTCTTAATATTGATATGGGGCTTCGCTGCGCGTTACGAGCTCCGCTTCTAACAATGGCTAAATCACAAAGAGCCAGAGGGAACTTAACATATTGTTAATCCTTTATTCGTTTTGTATAACCGCACATTCTGACCACTACAAGTGATCTGATAAAATTCAGATTCCTCTCTGAGAATATGATTCACACTCACAGATTTGTTTAAATACAGAAAGTAGCCGTAGTTAAGAAGGTTCTGATCTTACCGAGGTTCATTACAAAAGTGCCATTCTCTTTTAGCATCATGTAGAAATCACGCAGCTAGCCCCAAGCGCAGAAAACCAGAGGGTGGAAGTCAATAATGTTATATTAACTGGTTGAAAAAGTAGTTCGAGTCTTCTCCCATTAGTGACGAAGGAAAATCAAGTAAACCCAAAGTTACAATCAACATTTCCTCCACTAAAAAAAAAAAAAAAACATTTGTTTTAATCATGATTAACGAGTGCAAACCATTTTCAGCCGGGGACATTGCGTTGTTGATTTGGGGAATGTGGCTTTGTTACAAGATCAGAAATGCACCGGCAGCTTATAACGAGAGCAAGTACATTAGCTGGGCCATTTATAACGCTATGTTCGTCACCAGTTTCCTTATGGTGGTCAGGTTTGTGCAAGACTACATGAAATACATTTGGGGTGTCCTATTTCCTTGTAACAAAGAGAGTTACATCACCAGACTGAAACTCCCATATATCGTCATGTATAGTCCTCTATGCAACGAGTCCCTCTCAAGCTTATGCCAAATTCCAAACCAATTGGAGAAAAGCCGCGCGCAATATTCAAAAGGCAGAACTGAAAGCAAAAGACCTTCTATGCAGATCTCAAAGATTAACATAGTCGAATCTATCACATTTATAAATGAATCCCCCAAGCGATTTTCTTTTAAGCTCCAATTCATTGATGATCTGCCAAGTCTAACGTGAGTTTCCCTCATTGTTCCGTTGAGTATTTTTTCCAGTTTTGAGTTTTGTTATTCGGCTTGATATATCTCACCAGCTAGTTCATAAGACTACAGCAACTTTAACAACTCATTTCCGAATCTTAGTTCTAAATGTCAATTTTGCTGTCGATACCAGGATCACAACGAAAAGAAGAACCAACCCAGACATGATGTATGCTCTGGACTTTGTTCTGATTCACATGGACTGTTCTACTGTGTTATTTCTCATGTTCACACACAAGGTAAAGTCTGTACTCGAGCCTATTCGCTATGAACCACCCCGTCACAGCTTATCTCGGTTTCAATGTTGCATGAAGCAACTAGGAGTATAACTACTCCCACCAGGTTGAGATGCTAGTCCATAGCTTAAAAAACCATAGCGAAAGCTGACGTGTGTAGCTGACTGGATAACATGAGCCTGTCTGAGAAAAGCCTTCTGACCCAGCAATCTGACGGCTTCATTGCAAAAACTTAAGGAAAAGTTTCTTCCTCTGATTTGAAAAAAACAAAGGTAGAGTTTTTGTATTTGTACAATCCATTTTAGATTCTCTTGTGTGCTCCCCTCCATCGAGTCCTAGTTAGTCACGATTAAATGTCCATAGCAAGGTTACTCCCCTATCTTGATCAGTCAAAAAGATGCCTCATGCTATACTGTGTGCATTGTGCGTTTGTTTGGCTGAAAAATCCACAGTACTTTAAGAAGATACTAAAAATTGACTTTCAGATACAGTTCAATTTTAACTTAAAAGCCACCAACCCTTACTGGATAAGAACACTTTTATTTTGCTAAAGTAAGGAAGGGCACAAGATCAAAGACGAGGAAGGGAGGTTGTCGAGCTTTTACAGGACGTTTTCAGTCTGGGTGTCTTTAAAGTGGCCATGATGGTCAACTGTTATGAGGGATGTAAGACCACTATGAGATTTATGTGTATTTTTCCTTTTTCTATAGTTTTTGTTGTTACGCCAAATGCAAAGATCAGTGAATAACGCTGTTCCATCAAACAGCAACAACATGCTTGTACCAGATGACGAAATTGTTGTAGAAAGAATACCTTATAATCAAGAGGACTTATTGATGAAAGAAAACCAAGTATTGAAGGTAGGACACTGACACTCCCAGCTCTAAAATGGTCGAAGGTGCCTTGGTCAGATGGACAGAATGAAAGTGCGTGCGCTGACTTAAGCGATTACTTTTTATCGGCTCAGCCTCATTTTTGGATCAATTACCCATAATCTGGCATCATACTCATGCAATGGTTTTTTGGACTCAATATTAATTAGAATCAAACAGCAGAAAGGAATTGATGAAATAGGAACAAGCCGAAAAGAATCATTTTCCTGTCACAACATCATTTAAAACATGTTCAAGGTCACACAATTGAACCCTCTATGCAAGTTAGTTTTAAAAGCTACTTCAGTCCAATCCGAAACCAGCCGTTAGCCCAAAGCTATTTATCCTTTTTAGCAGGTGGCGCAAGAGTTTCTTTCTCTAAAACGATTGAAAATCATGGTGAAGCAAATGCAATGCAAAATCACCCCAGACACTTGAGGGAAATTGTTTTATTTGCTCTTCTTTCTCCATTGAGGAACGCGACTAAATTATTAGTCCAAGTTTACTATGAAACAAATATTTGCTTCTCTGAAAAGGACGAGATGCGGCGACTGAGTGAAAAAGTAGCTGTTCTTCAGTCTCGCCTGATGACAGATGACAACCATCCAGTAGATAACATAACCTCTCGCCGACGACAGAGTGCTTTCACCACACTTGTTACAGAAACTGGAAGTGATCTGAAAGCAAAACGACTGTCATTACAGCTGCCACTATCACAGCTGCCTAATTGCGAACGAGGCGAGGAAAAGTCCTCCAAGAATCTAATGCCCGACGTTAATAAAATTCAGGAAGCGAGTTTTCCACTGAAGCTGAATCGCCCATCATCTTCAACATCATCGCTCCGTTCGGTTTCCGTGCACAGCAAAGAGGTTTCCCAGAGAAACTCTTCTCTATGATTCTCAGTAACGGTTGGCTTTGTGCATAAATACTTGCCGGAGTGCCTCGCAAAACCAAAAGTTTGAACCTTTATTAAAAACCTCACTGATTAGAGATTTATTTCTATTAGAGCGCTTTTTGATTGTATTATAAAATCAAAACCAAAGTAATTACAATGGCCTCTCAAAGGTATTTTCATTTCGGAAGAAATCAGAATGCCTGTAAGAGCCAATAGGAACTCGAAGTAAAACCGACGACGACTGCCAAAAGCGCATGAAAACGTGAGCAACCAAGCCGTAAATGGTTTAGGTATTGCATCTGATTGGTAGAAAGAGTGGTGCGAGTTTTTCTGGACCAATCACAGAGCGAAGTAAAGCAAAAGCAAAACAATCCCTGATTACTTTGCACAATGTACTAAAAATTGCTTCAGCTGTGTCAAATGAAGTTCTTAAAGGACCTTACTAGGATACTGTTTATTTTTAAAAACTTCCACTTTAATCCAGACCTCGCAACAGTAGATGAAGCCTCCTACAGCATATCGCGAGCAATGGTCGTTTGTCTAACACTTGGCACAGTACCATGAATATGCCGACATTCTTTTCTGTTAATTTGTAATTTATAAGCACTGTTTAAAAATGATAATTTTAGTTTTCAATGGATCCAGAATTGATTTCTTGAGACAGATGGGGCTTCCGTAGAGAGGCGCGCCATTTTAGAGTATCCCACTCTACTTTTAACAATGAATTCAACAAAGAAATGAAAAACGCACTACACTTTTTGTGTAGGGAATTAATGATAATAAAATGTAACCTTATGCCTTAAATGGGAGAAGGATTACTATGCTTTTAATTTATTGATGATCTACAATGAGTTCTAAGTGTTGTTTTCCAGCTAAAAACTGGCTAAGGTTCTCTTACTTAAGGAAAGAAACATCTATAAGAAATTTTAAAGACCCTTCATAAAAATTTAGTGTAAAATTTGTTTCAACACAAGTTTTTAAAAATTTCCAATTTTTTTAGTACAAATACTCTGTGTTGTAAAGTAACGTTTAGCTTTATTTATAAACTGTAAATATTAGAAATAACTAAAATTAATAAAAATGTACTTTTGGTCGAGCATATACATTTAGAGCGCTTTTTAGTTGAGTGTCTTAAAACCAAAGCCTAAGTAATAACAACGAATGATCAGAGGAGAGGAAAATAACGCTAAGAGCCAAGGAGAAGTCAAAGTAAAACGCCATCGTCAGATTCAAATACAAGTTCGTCTGGGACAACTAAACGAGGGAAGGATTGGTCTGAATGTAGAACGCTATAAAACAACAGTGTCTGCCATTTTTAGGATTCAAGTGACTTTGTTAGGCTGTTACGTTCCGTTTTTCCCAGTAACCGTGCTGAGGATTTACAATGGAAAGAAAATTTGCATTACCTGAGTAGGGACTGCCACTTTAGTCTACCTAAATTCGTCTCTAAATCCCTCCCTCTATTGCTGAAAGATCAGAGAAGTGAGACAAAGTTTGAAGGAAACCGTCGCGCAGTTTTGTAACTGTGCACTAAGTTAGATTCACGGGTTTTGTTCACAGTAAACACTTCTGTACACTTAAGCACGACAACAGTTTTAAAGTTCCAGGTTGGCTGAACGGTAATTGATTAAAAGAAGAAACGTAGCTCAGTATTTAATTGCGTATTCAGTTTGACACGCTACCTAATCTAAAATGGTTGTATGGCTATTATGTAAACACGTAGCGGTAAAGCTTCCGATGAAAGTTGACTCCGGCCTCTAAATGCACAACCATTGTGGTAACTTTGATGAATGAAAAAACAGAACTGAACAAACTTCATTAATCTTTGATTACTTCTTGCTCAATTATCTACTTTCATTCCATTATCAACCCTTTCACGGCATAATGTTAAGAAAAGTAGAGAGGTGATCGCAGGCTTACGAGGATGTAATGCGGCGCTTGTTTAACTTCTTGACTTGTTATCGCGTCGTTATTTGCCAAGGTAGCTCTAATTAAGTGATAGCCTTAACCTAAAGACGTTTAATTTGATCGATAACCTTCAGTCAAATCCAACAACTGTTTTGTTACCTTTTTTCGGAAGAGCAATATTTTTTTTTCTCTACATAGCTTAAGTGGTTAGTGAAAGTCGCTGAATGAGCCACACATCGAGACTCGAATCAGCTAAATTTTTCCGTTTCTGGTTTTTTGGATTTGTTGCCCTTGCTGCAAATCTTGTATTCGAAATCAACTACGTTGGAGAATCAAACAGCTCACAACTGACTGTACCCAGCGGCTGGATTTCCTGGATGTAAAGGTATAAAAGGTTTCAATAGCTGTGGTATATATACAAGTGGGATATAAAACCACGTAAAGGCTATTAATAGCGCCACCGAATTAAAATAGCATACAAAATATTGTATCGTCAATGAGAGACCTGGGGCGGGTTGTGCGAAAACCAATAAACATCAATCATGGGATAACTGCATACAAAACATTTACGTTGCTATGGCAATCAAACCAGGATTAAAACCAATCGCTCTTCGAACAACTCGGCCTTGCCCAATTTTCTTCGACTCAGAAATTTTGACATTTTATTAGCCTGGAACAGGATTGCAAAAATTGGGTTTTCAATGATACAGTACGCCATGAAAAGTAAGCGCGCGTTTGCGAATTTCTTCGGCTTACGTGACCAAGGTTTGCGTCTCAAGTTGAATAAAATTCCTGCAGGAAGCTAACTCTTGTGAGAGATACACGGGAGGTGCGTCGCAAATGAATATTTTATCAGTGAGGCACTGAGTTATAGAATACAAATAAGAATTTACTCTTGTTTCTTAGGCTGGTTTTCTATTTTTTTGTTCAAGTGGGGAACCAAAGCCGAAGAATCAAAACCCCCAAAGTTTTCATGTCTCGAGGTATTCTCAGCTGTGACTAAAAGTTAACAAAATGAACTCATATATTTGGATACTATTCATTTTCACTTCTCAAATAAAGTATTTTACGTCTCAAGCCAAGATAAAGACAAAACCTCAAGAAGTAAAAAGTTAAGCCTGTATGACATCCTCATACAATAACTATAATCAAGATGTTTCGCATTCAAACAAAGAAGCAGGTGAAAAAAACCGAAAAAACTTAGGTAATTTACATATATTATAGTTACCCTGAATACCTGTATCTGTGATCAAATGTGAGGGGTCGATCGAATACATTTATATTTTAAAAAAAAGCGTAAGGTTACAAGCTGAAGAGATCAGATAAAGACGTCAACATGCCACAACTTAATAGCTACCAAAAAACTGTCAGGCATGGATGAACCGAAACAAAAATAAGAAAAGATATTATAGGAATGAAGTGACTCACGGTCAGAAATTTTAACGCGGTAGAAATTTAACTGTTAAGTTATACATCCTTTTTGACGATTTAAGCATCTTGTGGAAAAGATAAAGTAAATATCCAAGTTTTAAAAAGGAATTTTAAATAAAAACACTTAATTTCTTTGCATTAAAATCATTATACATTAAAAACAGAACGGATGTACTAATTGTTGACTCCGATCCTCTTTAAAATTGATAATGGGGCTCCAGTTCGCGCGGCACGTTAGAGTCGTTCAATATTCGAGGAAATATGATATCCCATCGATCTGAAATATTGAGCGCCACGTGGAAAATGATACGGTTCAAAGAATATAATTTTCAGAATATTACTTCCACGTTCACAAATGCCTTTGACGTGAAGCTTCAATGGCAATTTTGGGTTAATTCAAATCAGAACTAAAAAGAAACTTCAAGCGCATTTGATTCCATTGCGTGGTATGGGCCGAGCAAAAAGGATAGTTATTAACAGGAAACAAACTTAACCGACTGGAAGTGTAGCCTCTCCACTTACGAGTTGGCTTTGGCTATTTAAGTATTTTGTTCCAGTGTTCGCTGAACTATTTAAAAATTAATGCGTTCAGTTACTCAACTGTTACATTAAATTCACAATTGTCTTCCACTAATTAAAGGCATCAAGCTGAACATATGCCCAGAGGTCAATGCTGTAAAAATTCGGGCCAATATCTGTTCTCCGCCTTTTGCTTTTCCGCGTGTTGAATAAACCCGCAGTTTTCCTCACTCGACGATGACGATGATATCGTTTCGTGTGGCTCTGCTTGTAGTGATCGCTCTGAATCAAATTGCCAGCAACGATTTTTGGTCGCAAAGAAGATGTTGTGCCAATGCTGAACAAACTACAACAACCACCGAGGACGAGGTAAAGCGCGAAGCCAAGTCTCTCGTAGAAATTGCACTTCGCAGAGTCGCAGATGTCGAGCGACAGCTTCAAGAACGGAATGGCACATGTGACAAGGTTGATTTACTGAACATAACTTTTGACGAAAGGAGATGGAGGCAAGAAGCTCTTTTGACGGTACAAGTGGCTAACCTTATGACATCGCTGTGGCGCTCGCGCGGGAGAGACGGTGATCCCATTGGAGCTAACGACGCGCTTCTGTACCACTACGTGCGCTCGATCGTTTTATTTTCGCCGTCTGTCTTCGGTTCAGTGATTTGCTTTGACAACTATTTGTACAAGAACTATACAAGGTTTTGTCCCTATGCATTCAGGGATTCTAAATTAAAAAAAAAAATTCGTGTCAAAGATATAGTTTCGGCGAGTCAAGGTTACGACTACACGACGGACGAAAACGCGATTTGGTGGCACAAACCTAAAAATAAAGCGCTTACATTCCGTCCCGAGAGCATCACAAGCTATTATCAAGTACGATACAATTTAACCCACACGGATAAGCTGAAAAAACGGGTCTTCCCGCATGTGACATTTGAAAATGGGGCATGGACACGACCTTACTTCGACTGCTTTGGTGGAAAGATTTGGATGGTGACCTATCTCGCTCCTTTTTACAACGAAACGGACGACTTCCTGTGAGTATCATAACCCAAGCTATTTATTTCAACTCGTGCTATTTGTGCACATTTCTCATTTTTAAAATTTAGAGTGACGACATAACGCAGAGAGGATTGCTTCGGATGAGTATGATGCTAGGCAACTAATTGGTTTTCTTCACTTATCTCATACATTTTTGAAAATTTTTAGAAGCTTATTCTCCAGTTTTTTTCCCTTGTCTCGGTGATGCAGTCGAGTTACACCGGTAGCAATATAAGCTGTCTTGGAAAAATTTTGTTATAGAGCAATGGGAAGGGTACAACTTAATTACAGTTTGTTTGATTTTACATAATATTTTGACTGACATTTTAGAATTCAAATTTTTGCGTAAGCTGAGCTTTTTATTTGAATAATCTGGCCTTAAAATTCTGCTCATTTCTCCCCCCTTCTCTAGTATACGCTGTGTCACTTTTTTTCCTACAATCTTGAATTCTATACTAGAAAAGCTGTCGGAGCCATATTCTCTACAATCTTCGAAGCGAAGATCTTTTGATATTTCAAAACCCAAATTAAGAGCTCTGTCACTTTCGTAGAAAATCCTGACACTTCTCTTTGTATATATTGGACTGCATCAAATCATGAACGATCCGATCTGAGCAACACAACTGATATTGCTAAGAAAAGATTTGAAAATTAATAATTGAAAATTACAATTTAAAAAAATTGGTGTTTCCTAACATGAGGAACTTGGTTTACAAGTGCTCACCATCTGATAATAGATAGAAGTGCCTAAATGCAACGAAACATTGTCTTTGAAAGCAAACCTTAATTCATCAGCAAAAAAGCTTTTGAAAAATTCTGAGTTGAATAAACAAGTTGTTATTCATGTCCTATATTCCGTGAACTACGTAAATACGATGTACTGCGATTGGTAGACTGGACGCAAACATGACACGAATATATATATATTTTTTTTTTAATATGGCAGTGTATGTTTAAAAACATGGCGTGCTCCAATTAATTGGATATGAGTAAAAGGTTGTACTTTTTATCACAATGAAAAATTAGTAAAGACTGTTCAAAGATAAGCTATTGTTTGCTGGGCGTTAAAGCAAGTACAGTAATCCTTATTCTTGCATTGAGAATGACTTCACCATTTGTTACTACTTCCGATTTTTTTTCTTAATTTTGAGACATCGACTGATGACTTTATAACTATAAGAAGTCAGCGCTCACAAGTTTGGCACTTTGTCGTTTAAAGTCATTATGAAAATGATGTACTTTCCATGATTACTTACATTTCCTCTCACCATCATTAGATATCGAAACAAATTATAGATAGATAGAACACCTACTCGGCGTGGTGATATTGACGCCAATAGTCCATATCACAAGATATATATACGAGGAAATTTCTTGAGATCAAAGATTATTCAAGTTTATGTTTCTTTTCTCGTGAGTGTTTATCTGAGAAAAAAGAAAACCACACACCCAATGATGCACACAAATACAAACAAAAAAATGGAAAAAAAAAAAGAGAGAAACGAAAACACGCGAAGAAACACAGTGAGATAAAATGAACAATATTTGTTATCTTGGTTTCAATTGACACCTGCTGTCACGTCAAATTGTAAATATACAAATATTGCCTTACATTTTTCTACAACTGGCGAAGAAACCATATTTGTATTTCTCTCGAAAGTAAACTAGTGTTATCCCACCAGTTAAAAACTACCACTCAAAATCGATCCTTTAGGTAAAATGCAACATTTCATGCTGCTAGCACTACGCATGCTCCCAATCATTGTCGCATTGTACCAAACATTATATTTAGCAGGAGGTCAGTACGAAATAGCAATATAGATATGGACAGGTTTAAGTGCGTTTAAGACCTTGAAAAGAGCGGTTAAGACGAAAAATTTATAAATTCTAAAATTAGAAATAAAAAAAAAACTATAAAAATTATACGAGCATATGCATAAAGAGCGCTTTTCAATGAAGTGTCTTAATACTAAAGCCAAAGTTGTAATAATAATGACCAATCAGAGTAGAGGAAAAAACCGTCAATGAGAACTCAAAGTAAAACGAACCAAACTATCAGGAAAACGCGCGCAACCAAGTCGTGATTGGTTTAAGTTTTACTTCTGATTGGTCACCAGTCGGGAGTAAAAGAGGGTAGCGAATATTTCTGGACCAATCACACAGCGAGGTGAAGCAAAACCAATTCAATTCAGGATTACTTTCAGTATTCAATTGAAAATTGCTCAACATAATAATTTTGTTTGTTACATGTTATTTATTTTTTTCCTTTTCCTTAAAACGAATATTTCTTAACGAAAAGAAAAGGAACAAAAAGACGTATACCTTTCAATCCAATTGGTTTCACGGTATAATTTAATCGACAGAAAGACCACTTCAATCCTACAGACTCAACTACTTAAACAAGAATTGCAATATTCTTAAGAAAGAGCGAATCCTAAAGGCAGTACGGTAATTATCCTCAACAAACTTAAGCCCATTACAATCTACTTCTTAGCTCACCACTGACACAAACACACATTTGTCTCCAAAGTTCCTCGAAATGAACAGTCTTCTACAGTAGCTCTCTCTCGGTATAGCTTTCCCAACCGTAAGTCACTCCCGACAACAACAACAACTACTACTTCTACACACCTGAGTTCTTATATACACTCACAAAGTATTCTATATGAAATTTTACAACACCACTATTTTGGTAGTATTACATCACGACTACAAGACCTAATGGAATGCTCCAGAAAGTTCAATGGTATGCATGTCAGCTTGGCTGAGAATTCTAGAAAGTTCTACATATTTATCTTAAGGGTACTATCAATAGCATTGATGTCTCTAATCTCTGTTTTATGGTTGCTAGAGGTGTGGTCAGTATCGATGTGGTACTTAGCGACATTGACATTAACCAGTGTGACGAGCAGGAGTCCTCTGAATCTGATGAAGGAGAGGGGAAAGGACTCGGATATGCATCTGATAATTTAATGGAATTCATGGGTACTCATCTCTGTAAGGAATCAACAGAGGTAAAAGTCTTATTTCTAGAAAGGTAAAAAGAATGTAAGCAAACCATTTAGCTCTGGTTTATATGAAGTAAGGAACGATTTTGATGGTAATCGTTTGCCTGAGTTTAAATGAGGGAGGCCTCTTAGCCTTACACCGTGAAGTTATTGACTTTAAGACCCACGTAGCATTCTCCAATTGTCTTTGGTCAGTTCTGATCCGTCAAGAAGTTAATTTCGTGGTTTGTAAGGTGTGGGTAGTAATGAAATTTGTTGAGAGGAGAATGTTCTAAGTTGATACCAATAGCTTTCAGAAGCACCCTACGGAATAAGTTGGAAATGCAGCGGCTTGAAGTTAGCGCTCTGGACTTCGAGTCGAGATCGAGGTCAGGATTCGAGAATTGGCCAGGTAGTAGCGTTTTGTTCTTGGACAACAGTGCTTCTCTCTACCTGGGAGTAAAGATGAGTAGCAGTAAATTAGTAGGAAAACCTAAAAAAAAAAAACAATCCATAGGGACAGATTATGGAGTGGCATTCAATGATAGAAGAGTAGGCAAACTCCTTGCCGCCTCAAGCGACGGAAACCGGGATAGGCTCTGACCGGCGTGAAGCATTTGGCTCAAGAGTACACCTTTATTTTTACCTCCGTATAATGCTAGTAAGATAAACAGTTCTAGATTGACCAAGAGAACATAAACTGGGGATGGGAATAAGTTCTCTCAGTTTATATTCTCTTGCATTGATCTAATACGATCATTGACTGGGAAGGACAAGTACGTGAAAAGAAAACTGCATCTTGGTAACGGCCACCGCTCTTATTGTGTTTCTTGAAACAGTGTCAAGCAATCCACAATCAAGGATTCAAGCGAGGGAGCTACATATGCACATGTAAGCGAGGCTTTTACTTCCCTGACAGTCAGGCGTCTGTAAAGGCTTTTAACGGAACCCTCATTGAGCTCCAACACGATCGATATCTACGAGGCGACCCAAACTCTTACGAAGAGGACTTCGAATGCATTCGTTGCAGTGTTGGATGCGACGAGTGTGTTGACGACAAACCATGCGTTTACAGCTCTAACAGCTATATCCGTTTACCGCTGTTTTTTCTGAATGCACTCGTTATGTGTGTGGCTGTAGCATTTGCTGTATGCGTGGGAATACACTGGAATAATAAGGTATACTAAATTTATTATTCGCTATTTGGAGAAGCAGACAGATTGTGTGTAGCAGCATAGAAACAAGCATATCGTGACACCAAATGATTGGATGCCATCACAGCGCAAGCAAGTGTGACAAAACTTTTGTGAAAAATTTGACCGCCACGTTACTTTGTCATTGACTTTTCAGTGTTTTCTGGTACGGCTATATCAGAAAGCTACTTGAAGTGCATCCAGTTATGTGCCGCATTCAGGCCAATCCTGATTATAGAAAAAGGATAATTCGCATTGAAATAAATAATACGATCAGGTTTAAAAATTAGCTTCTCCAGAAGTTGTCTTTGTTTTGATTACTTTTTTCTAGGTCTGTCCCTTTTTTTGTTTTCAGATTTTCAAGGCCTCCAGCACGCGCTTCATGGAAATAATATTGTTGGGCGCTACCTTAATGTACTCAAAGGTAAGCATTCTCCTTCATAATTGCGTCTTTATAACCTTGTTATTCCGCTGTCGTTTTTAAGCGTGATTATTTGCGTCTATTTCCAGCTCATCGTTTCATACTTCGAACCTACAAGCCTCCGTTGTATTGCACGACCCTGGTTGCGTCATATTGGATTCGTTCTGGTGTATGGATCTTTGGCACTTAAAACCTGGAGGTATGTGTGCATTTTCATTTCGTTAAGTAATTTTCTATAGAGAAGTAAACGGGCTCACAAACAAAAGAGTTGGCGAAAGGCAAAATGAAAGACTATCAGGAAGAAAGGCAAACTGAAAAAACAGCCTGAGCCAATAGGAGGTTCTCAGCCGTAAAAATCCATTAATCCTTCGCCACCTCAGATAAAGACAAGCCCAAGAAAAGCGGACAGACAAACCGACGGTCTGTCTCACAAATAGTAGACAGACATGTGGAAAGAGAGATTAACACTAGAAGACTGATGCTAGTTCTTTGCAGGGTGGCAATAATATTTCAAGTGCGATCGGCCCAGAGGCTCGCTTTATCAGACAGGGTGCTGTTGAGACGCCTAGGTCTATTGGTACTGTTATACTCTGCTTATCTCACTGTATGGACAGCAATGGCGCCACCAGACATTGAAGTGGCGAGGACATCCGATGACCTGAAGTTTACGCGCTGTGTAGAGAATTGGTTTGATTTTACGGTCATATTCGGTATGTAACTGATCGAACGATGGTTAATTTCGGACGTCTTTTATAAATTTTCCCTTTTTAAAAGCGGTAGCGTTTATTATTATTATTATCAATTTATTCTTAATACTGATATGGGGCTTCCCCGTGCGCTCACTTCGCGCGCCAAGAGCTCCGCTTCTAAAAATGGTCAATCGAAACCAGGTTCATATCGCAAAGAGCCAATGGGAACACAACACATTATAGATCCTTTAATCGTTTTGTACAATCGCACATTCTGAATAGTACAAGTGATGTGATGAAATTCAGATTCTGCTCAGAGAATGTGATTCACACTTCACTCACGGTGGTAGCTGTAGTTAAGAAGGTTCTGATCTTACTGAGGCTCATTACAAAAGCGCAATTCTCTTTTAGCGTCATATAAAAAAAAAACCACGCAGCCATTTCCAAGCTCAGAAAACCAGAGGGAGGAAGTCAATAATGTCTTATTAACTGGTTGAAAAAGTGGTTCGGGTCTTCTCCCATTAATGACGAAGGCAAATCAGGTAAACCCAAAGTTACATTTAACATTTCCTCCACTAAAAAAAAAGATTTGTTTTAATCATGATTAACGAGTGCAAACCATTTTCAGCCGGGGACATTGTGTTGTTGATTTGGGGAATGTGGCTTTGTTACAAGATCAGAAATGCACCGGCAGCTTATAACGAGAGCAAGTACATTAGCTGGGCCATTTATAACGCTATGTTCGTCACCAGTTTCCTTATGGTGGTCAGGTTTGTGCAAGACTACATGAAATACATTTTGGGGTGTCCTATTTCCTTGTAACCAAGAGAGTTGCATTACCAGACTGAAACTCCCATATATCGTCATATATAGTCTTTTATGAAACGAATCCCTCTCAAGCTAATGCCAAATCCCAGACAAAACGGAGAAAAGCCGCACTCAACATTTGAAAGGTAGTAACTGAAAGCAAAAGACACTCCATGCAGATCTCAAAGATTGTCATCGTCGACATTTATAAATGAATCCCCCAAGCGTTTTTCTTTTTAACTCCAATTCATTGATGATCTGCCAAGTCTAACGTGAGTTTCCCTCATTGTTCGGTTGAGCATTTTTTTCAGTTTTGAGTTTTGTTCTTCGGCTTGATATATCTCACCTGCTAGTTCATAAGACTACAACAACTTTTACAACTCATTTCCGAATCTCAGTTCTACTGTCAATTTTGCTGCCATACCAGGATCACAACGAAAAGAAGAACCAACCCAGACATGATGTATGCTCTAGACTTTGTTCTGATTCACATGGACTGTTCTACTGTGTTATTTCTGATGTTCATCCATAAGGTAAAGTATAGCCTGTACTCAAGCCCATTGGCCATGACCCAACCACTTACGGCTAACCCCGGTTTCCATGTAGCATGAAGCAACTAGGAGCATAACTACTCCCCACAGGATGAGATGCTAGTCCATAACATATAAAAAACAGCGAAAGCTGACGTGTGTAGCTGTCTGGATAACATGAGCCTGTCCTAGTTAAGCTTTCTAGCCCACCACTCACATGGCTTTGTTGCAAAAACTTAAAGGAAAAGTTTCTTTTTCTGATTTGAAAAAAAAAAAAGTAGAGTTTTTGTATTTGTACAATTCTCTTTAGGTTCTCCTGTGTGTTCCTGTCTATTGAGTCCTTCTTAGTCACGATTAAATGTCCATACCAAGGTTACCTTCTATCTCGATCAGTCAAAAGATAAGTCTCTTCTTGTAAATGCTAACAAGCCTTATGCTATACCGTGTGCATTGTGCGTTTGTTTGGCTGAAAAATCCACAGTACTTTAAGAAGATACTAAAATTGACTTTCAAATAAAATTTAATTTAAACTTAAACGCCCCCAACCCTTAATTAATGAATTGGAACACCGTATTTTTGTCAAAGTAACGAAGGGCACAAGATCAAAGACAGGGGAGGGGGTTTCCCAAGCGTTTACAGGACGTTTTTAGTCTGGATGTCTTTTAAGTGGTCAAGATGGCCAACTGTTATAAGGGATGTAAGACCACTATGAGATTTGATTTATTTTCGTCAGATTGTAGCATCTTATGTGGGAATTTTTCCCTTTCATTAGTTTTTGTTGTTACGCCAAATGCAAAAATCAGTGAATAACGCTGTTCCATCAAACAACAACATGCTTGTACCAGATGACGAAATTGTTGTGGAAAGAATACCTTATAATCAAGAGGACTTGTTGATGAAAGAAAACCAAGTATTGAAGGTAGGACACTGACACTCCTTTTCTAAGATGGTCGGAGGTGCCTTGATCAGATGGACAGAATGAAAGTGCGTGCGCTGACTCAAGCGATTACTTTTTAACGGCTCAGCCTCATTTTGGGATCAATTACCCATAAACTGGAACTCATGCTAATGCAATGATTTTTTGGATCCTGCATTGGCACATCTACATTGATTACAATCAAACAGCAGAAAGGAATTGATGAAATAGGAACAAGCCGAAAAAAATCATTTTCCTGTCATAAAATCATCTAAAACATGTTAAAGCTCACACAATTGACACTCTCTCTGCAATTTGGATTTAAAAGCTTCTTCAGTCCAATCCGAAACCAGTAAGAACAGCCTAAAGAAGATACGTACGACTGGTCTAAGCGCCAGAGAAGGCGAATGACTAAATTGGAACATTCTAAGTTTGTATCTGTTAAAAGATTTCGGCGGACAGGTTGAAATCCTCTTTGCCACACAATTTGGTTACTTAATGACAGTTTACTTTGGAAGATAGACTTCTGAAATATGTCACACACCGCTGAGTGCGCGGGTATTTAAAAAACAGACACAGTTTTTAAACCTTCTTAATAACTCATCACCTGATATGACTCGACAACGAAGTGAACTCGTTCGCCCAAAGCTATTTATCCTTTTAGCAGGTGGCGAGGATTTCTTTCTCTAAAACAACTGAAAATCATTGTGAAGCAATTGCAATGCAAAATCACACTAGACATTTGAGGGAAAAATGCTTTATTTGTTCTTCTTCCCCTATAGACGGATGCGACTAAATTGTTAGTCTAAGTTTACTATGAAACAAATATTTACTTTTCTGAAAAGGATGAGATGCGGCGACTGAGTGAAAAACTAGCTGTTCTTCAGTCTCGCCTGATGACAGATGACAACCATCCAGTAGATAGTATAACCTCCCGCCAACGACAGCGAGCTTTCACCGCACCTGTTAAAGAAACAGGAGGTGATCTGAAAGCAAAACGACTGCCATTACAGCTGCCACTATCACAGCTGCCACCATCACAGCTACCTCACTGCCAAAGAGACAAGGAAAAGTCCTCCAAGAATCTGATGTCCGATGTTAATGAAAGCCAGGAAGCGAGTTTTCCACAGAAGCTGAATCAGGCATCATCTTCAACATCATCGCTCAGTTCGGTTTCCGTGCATAGCAGAGAGGTTTCCCAGAAAAACGCATCTGATTCTCAGTAACAGTTGGCTTTGTGCATAAAAACTTGCCGGAGTGCCTCGCAAAACCAACAGTTTGAACTTTACGAAAAACCTCACTGATTAGAGATTTCTCTCTATTAGAAGGCTTTTTTAATTGTATCGTAAAACCAAAACCAAAGTAACCACAATGGCCTCTTAAAGGTATTTTCATTTCGGAAGCAATAAAAATACCTTCAAGAACTAATGAGAACTCGAAGTAAAACCGACGAAGACTACCAAAAGCACAGGAAAATGTGAGCAACCAAGCCATGATTGGTTTAGGTATTACATCTGATTGGTTGAAAGAGTGCTGCGAGTTATTTTGGACCAATCACAGAGCGAAGTAAAGCAAAAGCAAAACAATCCCTGATTACTTCGCACAATGTACTAAAAATTGCTTCAGCTGTGTCAAATGAAGTTCTTAAAGGACCTTATTAGGATACTGTTTATTTTTAAAAACTTCCACTTTAATCCAGACCTCGCAACAGTAGATGAAGCCTCCTACAGCATATCGCGAGCAATGGTCGTTTGTCTAACACTTGGCACAGTACCATGAATATGCCGACATTCTTTTCTGTTAATTTGTAATTTACAAGCATTATTTAAAAACGATAATTTTAATTTTCAATGGATCCAGAACCGATTTCTTGAGACAGATAAGCCTTCTGTAGATAAGCGCGCCATTTTAGAGTATCTCACTCTATCCTTTAACAATGAATTCAACAAAGAAATGAAAACCGCTCTACACTCTTTGTGGACAAAGGGGATCAATGATAATAAAATCACGCCTTAAATGGGAGAGAGATTACTAGGCTTTTAATTTATTAAAGATTTAGGATAAGTTCAAAGTGTTTTTTTCCAGCTAAAAGTTGGCTAAGTTTTTCTTACTTAAAAAAAGAAACATATATAAGAAATTTAAAGACCCTTTGTAAAAATGTAGTATAAAAGTTGTTTCAACACAAGTTTTTAAAAAATTTCCAATTTTTTGGTACAAATATTCTAATTGTTGTAAAGTAACATTTAGCTCCCAGAGAAAGCTACAAATAAAGTAACTTATTCAGTGAGTTAATTAGTTATAACCTTCATTATTCGAGTAATTTCAAGAGCCAGGGGTTTCATGGGGTGTCCCAAAGTTCTTGAGGTTGCCTTTCAGTCAAAAGAAACCATGCACTTAAAAAACAATCACCTCTGAAGTTCAATAAACTTTGTGATCTAGGAACAGCCACAGGGATCCCCACATGCCAGTAGATCAGCCCACATCTCTCGCAGTTCCTCGGGTTCATTTTCAGGGGAAGTGAAAGTTCCCGTATCACACTCGCGTCCACATGACCAGCGGTAATCCTTCAAAGAAAAGTCCACACTCATGTAGCATCAGCGGTCAAATCTGACAAGCGGCAAGGATTCAAGTACCTAGCCTGTGTTATTTTTTTTCTGTCGAGGCAGTTCAACTGCATTCAAGATTGAACTCATGACATAATACAGACATAACCGCAAAAAGAAAACAAGCTTGATCATGATCCTTGTGAAAAATAATACAAAATAAGAAAACAAGCTGACTTACATTGACTAAGTTTGGTCCCAACGCCGAAAGCCAAATTCCAACAGAAACATCTTCACCCTGCAGAGGAAATGAGTAGAATTGCTTACACTCAGTGGTGTAAAGCGCTTTTGGATGGAGTTCCGGAAACTAGAAGCGAAAGTGATCGCCACAGCCAATAAGAACAAAGATGGATATCGTAAGGAAGCTATGAAGAACTTGGATTAAATGATTTGGAAACGGCTCCAAGCGCGCAAAATCGCAGTGACCAAGTCGAGATTTAGTTTTGAGGGTGATGGTTCAGAGAATGAAGAAAGTTTTCAAGATCATTCACGAAGCAAAGCGAAAAAAACCTTCTGCAGAATTGGTTTACTTTCGATTCTTGATTGAAAATTTCATTTTGCGGAGAGATTATTCCCCGGGGCCCCTTGGGTAGTATATTAATGAGGCGCATCACTACCTGGTATGGTTTAAGGTTGTCGGCGTTCAACGCCAGCCATCTCACTAGGTCAGCAGACAACACATTACCAGCGCCACAGGCGAATGACGGGTACACAGGAGCGGTGTAGTCAAGTTCCCGCCATTTTCCTACGCGCTCCACTGGCCAAGCAGTGCGAAACCTGTTGGGAGACGAATAGGGTTTACAGTGGCAAACACTGAAAACTCTCTGTCATGAAATAAACTGAGAACGTGCGATGAAATTACTTTCCACCCTTTACGTTGTAAGTTCCCTTGGTTGCATAAACCGCAAATAAGCAACCAATGGCCTGGCCCTTGCCCGAAGTTCACTAAGTACTTATCACCTCAACAGCAGCTCTAACTGTACATCCACAATCCGTATCGACTGAATTAAGTTAAATAAGATACTTCAGTATAAGTCACAGCTAAATACCTGCTCCACCAAGTGCGCTCTTTCCCTCGCAACTTTCTATCATTGAGTCCCTGGAACAACAAATAAAAAAAAAGCTGAACAGAGTACGCGAGGAAAATAAGCAACCGGTATATGATAGAAAACACGATTGCAACTGAGCTTAAAGTCCACTTTTACCTTGACAATTGATTCTAAGTGCACAAAGCAGTCATCGTCGGTTTTGAGAGTGAAGTTAAACTTCATATTCAGTGCAACCCTGAGTAAACAGAAAAGCAGAACATTTTACCAAGAAGACACCAGGACGCAATCATAAATACCAGAGGGGTATATGAAGAGAAAAACAAAATTTAACAAAGGTGGTTGGGGTAAACGATTGGGACAAAAGACGGTGGAGAGACAGAAAAGCGAAGACGCAGAGGCAAAGGTGAGCAGTGGAGAGGTACAAGAAAGCAAAGCAGCAAGTGACTAAAGTAACAGAAAATTACCAAGAGAAAACACAGGGATGAAAAACTAATGATCGAGCGTGGAGCGAACAAACGAGCGAATAACGTAAGCGTTGGCAACACAAATTAATTCAAAGCACATAAACAATTCTCACCAAGAATAAAATTTAAGTAATTTCATTGGAAGGTTGCGGTAAACATCTACAACGTCCACCATCAAAATATCATCATACAGCTGCATCTCTCGTTCCAATTCTTTTTCTTCCCGCAACAAAACTTTATGCCACATTTTCGTTCTTTCAGTCCTTTCTCTCTTCCTTTCCAGCATCGTTTCCTTCGTAAATTCGTCATCTACAACTGAAAAGTTCACTGCTTGAGGACGTAACGTCTTACCACAAATCACACAGAGCTAGTTTGAGTCTCAGCTTATGCATCTCAGAGGAGAAGTAATTACTCCAGAGACCGTCTAATTATTTTTTACCCACCAGCGATCATCACCTCTGCGAGAAAAGGTGTTCATATAATCGGTAATATGTGGACAAAAGCTTCCCTCTACCAACCGTCGGCTAACTGTCGGCCGACAGGCAATTGACATACGACACATAACCGTGAGCCTCCAGACAAGTTACAAGTTGACCATTACTAAAATTTTCGCCGACAAGTTGTTTCAGGGAGTTATTCTTCGCAATAATCATATTTAAGTTGTAGCATCTAAAAGTGACCTTACCATAAGCGCGATACATAAATGATCCAGCACCATATTGGTTGTCCTCTTCAAAGAATTTTTCTTCAAATTCTGGGAAAACGCTTTGCTTCACTCCAAAGCGACTCACCTAAAACAAAACCAGAAAACTGGAATCATACTTTCAACACCTAATTCAAAAATTAGTTTAAATTTTGGACTAAAGTGACGGAATTCGCCGAAAAGGAGGGACTGCTCGGAGTCTATTTGTTTTACTGCCTTTAATTGTCACTTACACTGTGAAATGAAATCAAACCTCCACCACTGTCAAATCCACCATGTACCAAAGGGTTGTTACTGCTGGGATCAGACAAACTGAAGTTCTCTCCAACGATGGAACCTTCAAATCCCTGAAAATATATAATGATGAAAAGTCGCTCTACATTTGTAAAACACCAAATTCCGATGCTTAATTGTTGTTCAAAAGAATTCCAGTGGAGATAAGATAAACCAGCCGAACAACTAAGGTAATAATGTAACGCAATGGATGCTGTGCCTAAAGTGGCTTCCTTGGCTGATTTCAACAGCTAACTACATGCGTGAAATCGTACTGTGATGTATTTTTTTTCTTTTCTATAGTTACAATCGTTTGCAAAAGTAATTGGGACACAAGTCCTCTCCCCCACCCCCTCAGTAACGTTGGATTGTGCAATGGATCAGTGATCTTCAACGTAAAGGGCATACATATCACACTGAAACCTGTAAGATTGTTACTTTTTATCAGTTACTGACTGTGAGTAAACTTATATGCACAAAGATTTGTAAAAATGCATAGCATGTTCAACCTTTGGCAAGAGAAACTGGTCAACAGGTTTAAATCTACTTCCACCAATCAACTCTCCAGGTTCATCTTGGGTAAAGTTCACACTCAGTACTTCTGCCTGCCAATAAAAAATATTACATTCATTCTAAGTCGTGAAATGCTCTTTATAGAAGAAAAAAAACTATTTGAAGAGACATTTATAGAAGAACTTATCTGCCATGGACAGAATGTAATCCTGAAAATGAGACAAGTACAATGATCAACAATCAATCAACAATCCCACGATACTGACAAGAAGAATTTGTTGAACAATCAAGAGCCTCTTTAGTTAATGATCATTTCCCTTATTCTCTGACTTTCATGCGTGATTCAGGGTTGATATTGTAAGGAGAAATTAGATGCTAGTCAGACATAGAGTTTAAAAGGTTAACCCCCTACCTGTGAGACTTTGTCATAAAGACGAACTGTCAGCTGACTTTTAATTCCATCTGAATTGCTGTCAAATACTCCAAGCTGAGTGACAATTATAGGAAAATTCACCTTCAAGGAAATAAATCATATATCTAGTTAACAAGTGAGACAACTGTTTGGTGTAGATGGCCAAGCATTTACAGGATTCAGTCTTATACAAATCATTGAAACAAACAATTGGGAAATTCTTAATGGAAGTCAATACTGACAAGCACCTAACTGTGTACAATTAGCCAAAGCTTATCCTAGCTGCTATGGCATAAAGCAACTGAGATAACTGCTTTGCCCACAAAATGAAAAGTCAATTGCTTACATTTTACCAGCAAAATACATTATAAGATTTCTCCAACAGTTAAGCAACAGCTAGCCTAAACTGTTATTTTTATTACTGAAGGAAGAGAGGCATTGCAGAGGAAATAAGTTCCTTATCCCAGTGTTAAGTGTCTGGTCCACCACCTTCCCACTTGTAGTTAGCACTCCCCACAAAGAGTTATCCTTTAGAATTCCTGCTGGAGCTTCTATCTGATAGCTACTCAAATCACTTACCCTGAAGTCCATACCCAAGGGGCCATTGTGATAGTGATATCCAACTGCTCCTTTAGGAACCATGTAAGCTATGATGTCTTGTTGCAGTACTGAAAAAAAGTTTTCAATTAATATTAACAACTGAGTTGATGATGTTAATTGGCTACCACAAAGGGTTTGTAAGCTAAAATTCCAAGCAACACAGCAACACAGCTGATAAAACCAAATTATCTTGTATTACCCCAAACCATGTAGCACCACAGTTCCTTTAGAAACTTACCCCCTTTATTCAATGAAACCACCTCCAATATGCAAAAGTACATTTTGAACTGAAAGTCTTCAATGCACCCAGCTCATAAGAACAAAGGTGATAGGTTTTATCCATTTTTAATTATTAACATGTAAAGAACTTATGTCTAATTTAAGAGTGAGAAAAAGTTAGGCCGCAATTAGCAGTCACAAAAAAAGTTATTATATTTTCCTTCTAATCTGCTGGTGATTAGTTTTAAACTCCCACAATTAAGGTTAAACATTGATATTATGTATTGATAGTAATATCAAAGAAGAAAAGTATGAAAGGATTGAAATACCTGGGTCAACAACAACGTCTGGTTCACAGGAATACTGATCAAGCCTGTCTAATGCTGGTATGGGACATGGCTGACTGCCAACTATGAACTTGATCAATATCCTGTGGAGCATTTAAAGGAAAACTGTAAAGATTATGACAAACACGTACACACAGGATTACTAGGCATTGTAACTGAATTGTTATAAAATTAATCATTACATAAAGACACTGTTTACAGAATTTTCCAATCATACAGCTATTAACTGTGCATATACCAGTAGGCCATTTGAAATATCAAACTAATTATTATCAAGAAAACAAATATTACAGATATATAGAGCATAAACAGAGATGAAAACAAACCCAAATATACATGATGATGTACCTTTGCCCCAGGGAGGGGTGTTGTAGGGCATGTCCAACCCATGTTTCTCTGAGTGCTTGGCGCTGCTCAGTATTACCCCTTGCTGATAAGATACCAATGACTACATCATAACTTGGTGGTAAAGAGAAGTTTCCTAAGAATAAACAAAAAGCCTCTCTGTTCAGTATGTTTTCCATTTATAGACCTCTGGCCACTCATGTCAGAACTGTAAGCTAGTTAATGCCAACAATTTTATACCAGCACCCATCATATTCCTAGCCATTCTACAGAATAATGAGATCTTGTGTGAATAGAGCCATTTGAGGTGCATCTCAATCGCATGTGTGGTAACAATACTGCCTCTTAGCTCTACAGGTGCCTTACAGATTGCTATAATTCTGGCATAAACAATGATGGTTTTAGAAAAATTATTCATACTTCATGTGCAGCTACCATACCCTGCAGACTGCAAAGCATGATTTACTCTTTAATTGAGGTATAGACTCCAATGCTCAACACATGCAAATATTAAATAATTTCATTTGAAT